TTAAGAACCATTTTAAATACTGACACAAGGGAGCACAGGAATGTGCAGTGCTGTTCTTCCACTAAAGGTGAATGCAATGTTTGAGGCATGCAAATATTATTTGAGGACGCCATTGTTCTGTTTATTTACCATGTTGTGGTGTTCTGCTGTTAAACAGCTGCAAAGATCCCCGGGTGGACGGGAGCAAAACTGCACACAATCGAAACCTCCCGCGATTCGTCTAATTGTCTGTGTGCGGCTCTCCTGGACTGAAGCTGTGAGCAGTAGCACACTGTGGCTTCGCACATGCGTCTGTTTCTTGACCCAATCATCCATTTTGAATGCATGTGTATTGGGATAGACGCGTGCTGACGCTTATGTATGGGCACACCTTAAGTTCAGAGGAGCCAATCAGCGCATCGTATATGCTGACGCATATGTATGGGCACATCTTAAGTTCAGAGGAGCCAATCAGTGCCTCGTTATCGCCGACATGCCCTGCTCAGCCAGGGTCTTCAGTGAGTCAAACATTATACAACACACAGTCGCGCTGCTGCGGTCCTCTGCAATACATCTGTTAGTGCACGCAAAGAATACAACGGATAATTTTAACAAGCGATCGCGGTAATGCGCAGATTATAGTCCACAAATACAAAATGTATAACGTAAAAATCACTCTAAAATTATTATTTTATACAATTTGCCGAGGGTCTGGACAGAGGAGGTCGGCGGTCCGGTCGTGGATCGCGGTCCGCCAGTTGAGGAAGGCTGTCATAAATTATCCGATCAAAAGGGCAATGTTCTGATCGATTTGGGTAAATGTACCGGTATATATCAATAAAAGAACTGGGCTTAAACATCTACCAACAACTAACCACTTATAACACAAATGCATTCTTTTTCTCAGCATACTAATCAATTCCAATAATGTGAAATAATTTATGCAATGTCCATTCCGTAGTAAATAAGTAGGGAATCGGGGGATATGGAGTGGTTATTTATTGCATTCCATATTTGTCTCTCTTGAAAGAGAGATTTAGGAGTTTTAGGAGTTGAAAAATGCATACATATTGTGCTGCAGGTGATATTTCTAATAACGGACCAGGCAGGATGTCATTTTTGTACAGAATGCATTGAAACTCTTTTCAAAATCTTTATAGACTTGATTTAGAACAAATGTAACATCTTTCCTGAATAAACCCTGAATAAAATAAGATGGTGAAGTGACTCCTATTTACATAATTCACTACCAACTGCAAACGTGTGAATGCAATGTTTTCATATGTTTGTCAGAGAGTTCACGATTATTTGGTAACGGGGTAGAAATAATCGCAGTCCCTTTAAGGACCGCCATGTTAGTCTGTTTGTTGCTATGGAAACTTACTTTCGGCGGGTCTCGTTTGGCGCGGGGAGTTTTTTGGGTGAAAATAATAAAAAAACGACACTCTCTCTCGGAGTGCGAACGTGAGAAATTGTCGCTTTCTTCGAGTTTCTACAATTTCCACACTGGTGACCCTCGACGTTTTTTGCTGGATGATTCCAGACCGCGAAGATGTCCATGAACAATGTTTCGCTCAAGCTCCCCGAGTTTTGGGAATCATCTGCGTCTGCTTGGTTCGCTCAGACCGAGGCCCAGTTCGCCCTACGCGACATCACTGCGGATACTACGAAGTACTACTACGTTGTTTCCGCGCTGGGCAGTTCGACGGCGTCCAGGGTCGTGAGTCTCCTCAAGTCTCCTCCGACAGAAGGACGATATGATGCTCTGAAGGCTCATCGAATGCGGCCCGGATCATGGATGCCGGACCCGGGCCACTGCAGGACCGTCATTCATTGCGGCATGTGGGGCGAGGGTCGTGCCGTGTCCGCGCCAGAGCTGGGCCAGACCAATTTTGCTGACTGAGTGGCAGCCTCTCGCTTTTTTCAGTAGGCAGTTACTCCTCCCTGAGCGGAAGTACAGTACTTTCGACCGTGAACTGCTTGGGATGTACCTCGCCATCTTCCATTTTCGGCACATGCTGGAAGGCCGCCGGTTTACAGTTTATGTCGACCACAAAGCTTTGACCTTCGCCATGTCCAAGGCCACAGAACCATGGTCCGCCTGACAGCAACGCCAGCTGACCTATTTCTCCGAGTTTACTACAGACATTCAGCACGTGGCGGGGAAAGACAACTGTGTTGCTGACTGCCTCTTCAGGGCCATGGCTGGAGCGGTCCACCTGGGTCTCAACTACTGCAGTATGGCGAAGGACCAGGCTACTGACACCACAGTGCAGCAGTGCCGGTTGTCCACTACAGGTTTGCAGCTGAGGGACATGGTCTTTGGCAGCTCCGGCACCACTTTGCTCTGAGACGTCTCCACAGGCACCCCTCGGCCTGTGGTTCCCATGAGCTGGCGGCGCCCGGTTTTCGAGGCTGTCATGGACTCTCTCACCCGGGGACCAAGGCCTCTCAAAGACTGGTGGCAGCCAAGTTCATGTGGCATGGCCTGAAAAAGGATGTAAGAGATTGGGCTCGTGCCTGCGTGGAGGGCC